AACAAAATATTAGAAAAATTCAATTAATACTAACAATAATATATAATTATTTAAATTAATATATATTAACATTGAATAATTTTAAGCGCTTATTTTTTTGGGCTAAAACCACTGTTTTTAGTGGCTTTAGAATTTAGCGGCCCGTTTCGACTAATGTCTTTTCTCTTTCAATTGGTGACGTGATTTTGCTAAAGGTTGTCATGGAAAAACTTGTACTTAGTTCTAATGGAACTAGATAGTTATTCGTCTGGATATTAGCATCTGTGAAGCTGAGAAAATTGATCATAATAAACCAAGATGAACATCATACTGATGACAATGATTTGAATTTGATTCAAGGGGACGTATTTTTCGAACTAGGATGATTGAATTTCTTTGTGATTCGAGAGTCGTTAGTGACGTATTTCTCGAACTAGGATGATTTAGACTTGAACTCCCTAAAAGATTTGTGAATCATATTGAAGTATTTATTTATCAAAAAGAGTCTGTACCTTTTTGGCATATTCAAGAAGCCCTTTCTAAGGGAATATATTAAATTTTTTTATATGTATGAGCTAGGTTTAGATAGAATAGTTTCTAAAAATCTTAAGTGGAATCAGATATATCTTGTCCCAACTAGAATTGAATGACTCTGATAGATTCCATAAAATTTCAATGTCTACACACTGGTTACTGCAATTCTTTGAAGATAAATTACAAGTTGGACAAGGAGAGTAGATATTTACAGGAACTATTTTGTTGTGTTGCCTATGTCGAGAATCTTGAATTGGGTCTCTGGTGCATCCATGTTTATTCATAGTCTTGGACATCCAAAATTTTGATTTTCTTCTTTCACTCTACAACTAGTTATTATTTGTTAGTAAATTCATCAGTTTAGGATCATTAACAATGATACTACTACTTGGGATAATATGGCAAGTACTGAAGAATAACATTCTCATGGACAGTAGCAGGTGATTGAAACAAGGCCTACTGAACAAAAAAAAATTATGATGACAATTGTGAGAGTTTACATAAGATAGACAAAAATTAAAACTTGGATTGAATTGTACACGGGGAAATGCATAAGTACCATTAGACTATGATCGAAATTTCAAAGACACACCTAAACTTAACTAAGGTCCTATTACCTCCTGAATTCATTTTTTTTCTTATTTTTGTGCACCTTTTGTGTTGATGCACCTTCAACCACTCAAGTTGGTTGTATTTGTACACACTCGCCCGCCACGTGTGTAAATATTATTTTTTTAGTTAAAAATTATTATTTTTTGAAAAAAATTAAAATATTTTTCTTAATTTTTTTTAAAAAATAAATTTTTATTTTTTTACAAAAAAAAAATTCTTATTTTTTATCTTGTATTTAAATTGAGTTAATACACATTTTTTTACCTTGTATCGAAACTTTTTTTTTTTTTACATTCATTGTTTTTTTCTTTTATTTTTCTATTGATTTTATTTTCTTTGTCTTTCGTTTTGATTTGATTTCAAATGTCTTGTATTTAAAATAAGTTAATTTTGAATGGATATCAAAATAAGTGAAGAAAATCAAATAAAACATAAAAAAATTAAAACATTAAATTAAAGGACACTTTTAAATTATTTTTAAAAAAAATACACATAATTTATTAAAAATAATTAAAAGTGAAAAAATAATAAATTAATTAAAAAAAAGTTTAAAGTGAAAAGAAATTAAAATAAATATTTTACAAAGAAAGAAATAAAAATAATGAAATATATATAAGTTTTATTATCAATAAATATGTGTACTAACTAAATATAAAGTTACCAATAAAAAATGACATGTCACCAATTTGTGCACTCATCATTGGCCTTCAAGAGCGTGTGCATGTTCTCTATGCCATGTCAGCATTTGTGGTGTATTTATTCCATTTTAAATTAGTTTAGGGGGTAATAGGACCCTAGTTAAGCTTAGGTGTGTCTCTGAGATTTCGATCATAGTCTAGGGGTACTTATGCATTATCCCTCTTGAAGTTTCCACAAGTTGGGTCCGGAGAAGGTGGGTTATACCCAAACCTTAAGCTTTTAGATGAAATGGTCTCACACTTGAACATGGTATCAGAGCACGCAGAGATCCTAAGATTGAATTTCACCGCCACCCAAATCAAAAAGAATTTCCACGTGCTTGTTGAATATGTTTTTATGAACTATTCAACTACAATGAAGACCAAGAGTAAGTTTCTTGTAAACCTTTATACTCATTAGTTTATATTATCAATATCAAACAACTACTATATTTGCTCAAGAATATAATGCAACAATGCTAAAGAAGTTTATCCTTGTTGGAAAATTCAAAAGGAGTGATTATGTTTAGATGGAATAGAAGCTCCGCATGCTTCAGTAGTCTTTTCTTATTTATAGTCTAATGCCCCTCTCTTTTGTAGTGATCACAACATACTTAGTAACTCTTACTCTATATTTGAAACTGGTTGGTAGTTGATAGACAAGTTCGGATTCTACTTATCAGTATCCAAGCAATTGTTAGTAGTTCTTCATTAAACACAATGTGTTATTCTTGATTCATATAAGAAAGTTCACTCTAAGGTTGAATGACATTTTGTGAAAATAGTATTTCTAGATTCATTACAACTCAATGGGATTGTTTCTGTAGCCATATGTTTTCTTTCTGTTGCACATTGATGTAATACTGAATGAAATCTCTCTTTCTAATACTCCATTATTTAGAATGAAAAAGAAGCATCCAAAATAATTTTGCTCGAAAATCTCAGGGTAAACAATTTTAGGAATCATTCTCATCTTTTATTGAGTTTCCAAAATGTGCAATATCCTCGTCGAACTAGGAAGGACAAAACAATATTAGAGGTGATGTTGGGGGGAAAAGAAGTTAGTTAGGCTGCACTTTGTGTCTGTTATTTTGGCTAATCGCTTATTAAGTATATTTGTTTGTTAATACAGGAATCAACGATCGATGTTTACTGCTCCCTGTTTTCCTTGCTGCTACGTACCTTATGGTCAGCCCCATGTACAGAGCAAAAAAGGCTGAGAAGCTACTTTTCAAACAGGTATTCCCTTTCTGGATACTAAGTTATTCATTGCATACCGCTTGTTAGAAGGAATGATGGGACGGACATATCTGTGTAATCGCCGCCTTGAAAAACATAAATTTAAGAAGCATTTAAAAAATGACAGTAATTTCGCTGGCTAATTCACCTCCTCTGATTCATGATAAAGAGAATGAACGAACAAGTGGCGTTGCTTCAGTAGTCACAGATAGACTAAGGGCAAAACATTAGTTATCTGAATTTGGTCTTGGCAATGCTCCAACGAGTCCTTGGTGTTTATTAAGCTTAGCTTCTAAAGAAGATGCTGTTCCTGACAATCGTCCATCGTGGTGTTTATTAAGCTTCACTTCTTAATCAGAATGCTCTCTGCCTTGATATGATTGGACTTCGCTCGCAGAGGAATAAGAATATAAATCTGCCTACATTCAGACCTAACAGGATTTCTCCTTTATAGCAATTCTGAAAACAAGGAATCACATCCCTGTTACTATACTCAGGTAATGACACACGTGCCACGTAATCCTCGTGTCTCCCTCCCAACATAAGAGGGATAGTTGTAGTGCAGTGTAAGCTATATCCTCAGCAATGGTGAGAAATGTTGTTAACTGAAATGGCATAGATGACAGATTTATTTTCTCATGAGATTTATGTGAAAAACTGAATGAACTTTGAGATTTATGTGCATTCATTCCATTATTGGTTAACTTTGAGATTTATGTGCATCTATGCCATTGTTTTCTCATAGATGACAGATTTATTTTCCTAAAGATTTATGTGCATTCATGCTATTATTTGTTAACGAAAAGAACTGTGAGAAATGTTGGCACCTCACGTGTGCACGAAAGTCCTACATACACCACTCTTAGAACCTTTTTTACACTGCTTGTGTGGTAGAAAATGCTTCCATGCCTGTTTTATCCACCGCAAACGTTGAATCAATGAGAAAAAAACCTGTTTGATCATAATTACACAAACCACCTTTTGCCAATACCTTGTTCCTCTCTAGTTTCAGCAAACTCCTCGATACAGATGAACGTTGTATCAAACGCTTTGCAGCCGCGGTACTACCATCCAACAGTTAAAGAGATGATCTTCTTGCCCTATCTGGAGGCTGTTTAGTTACTATATATGCATCATTTGCCATATCTTCATGTTGCGTTGTTTGAATTTCCTGGGCTGAATTGGCTATAGACTAGCTCCATCAGCTACACGTTGCGTTGTTGGAAACCAGCTTGAGGGATTCAAGATGACTTAGAAACTCTAATCTTGGAAAAAGAACACACCTACCCATTCCATGAATAACCAAATGTTCCTGACAATATGCAACTCAACTTTGGCATAGTTCTCAAAATTTTCTCTGCATCTTCACCATAAGAGAAATGTAGAGTGGAAAAGGTCTCCAAATTAACTAACTGTGATTTAGCAAGTGATTCATTCATGTTCCCCTCGGAGCTCTCACCTTTTTGCTCCCTTGGTAACTCGAACTCACAACCTTAAGGTTGGAAGTGAGGGTGCTTACTATCCGAGCAAAACTCCCTCTTGTCTATTTGCTTATGCCTTATGGTGACTAACAAACAAATTATAATTTTACTTGGTAGTATGAGTTTACAGTAACCAATTTGTATAACAGAAATACAAAACATCAATGACCAAGCGATCTTTTTACACTGTTGGAATCAAACCATTCTCAGAATCAAGATAAACTATATTTAATCTTGTACTACAATCTTACCAATAGTATGTCCAACAATCTCTTACTTCACCATTACAAATGACAAGATATAATGTGTATCTACCTACAATGATAAACTTCCCGCAAGATTTGTGCAAGCACATCACCATTACAATGACAAAGCAACCTGTTGCTAACAAACATCTGCTCCTAGAGTATGACAAAAAGGAACATGAGGCAAGATAATACTTGAGATTCACGAGATCCGTTCTCTAGCAGATTTATATCATGTCTCAGTTTGAGGAAACTGAAACATCATCTGGGGTAGAATGAGCTGTGAGAAATGTTTGCAATTGAAGCTGAATCATCTCCATGGGGATGAGATGGGGTATCCCAAGGGTCATGAAGCTCCATAGTTTTCTCATCTACAAAGGGAGGATTAGTTGGTGCAGGTAACTCTTCTTCTTTCTTTACTAGCATCTGCAATGCCTTAGACATAGACGGTCTTAATCCCGGAATCTCTTGTGTGCACAAAAGTCCTACATGTACCACTCTTAAAACCTCCTTTTTTACATTGCTTGTGTGATAGTTGTGCAGCATTAGATTTGGATCAAACAGTTCCTCTACTCTCGCATGCTGAAAATGCTGCCACGTCTGTTTCATCCACGACAATAGTTAAATCAATGAGCAAAAACATTCTTGTCTGCAATTGTATAGATTCAAGTAACTAGAAGAATTGGTTCACAACTTACAATGGAAATTAAACTGTCAGAGTATTCAGTGTTTTTGCTTCTGTTATTCTGCCTTCCGGTAACAATCTCCAATAAAAGAACACCAAAGCTGTAAACATCTGCCTTTTCAGTTAATTGACCATGAGCTAAGTATTCTGGTGCCATATAACCTCTGCAAGGGAAATAACAGAAAATTAACCATATGAGATAACTAATTACACTGCTGGCTGTTAATGTTTCACGAACATAAGTTTTGAGCTATGATTTATATGGTAAAAGTAAGGAATCACTAACAAAGTCCCAGCTATAGCGGTGCTTATGTGACTCTTGTCTTCTTGGAAAGACCTGGCCAACCCAAAATCAGCAATTTTTGCTCTGAGCCTCGAATCCAACAGGATATTGCTGGCTTTTATATCTCTATGAATAATCCTCGTTCTATTGTTTTCGTGGAGGTACACCAAGCCTTCTGCAGTCCCTATAATGATGTCAAATCTTTTCTCCCAATTCAATGTTTTGCCTTTGGTAGAGTCTGCCAATTTCAGCATACAGGGTGAATTCTATTAATTTCATGCCAGTAAGAATCGAATGTGTCAAAGTCACAAAGTCTTCTACATACCAAAGATAAACCGATCAAGACTCTGGTTCGGGAGGAACTCATATACAAGAAGGCTTTCAGGTCCAGAACAGCTGCATCCTAATAACCTTACTAGATTTTTGTGCTCAACACTGCTAATAATATTGACTTCATTGTAAAAATCTGCAGCTCTGTGTTTGTTGTTGAAGAACAGCCTTTTGACAGCTATCTCTCTCCCGTCTTGTAGAACTCCCTACAATATAATAAGCATATTATAGATTTACTCTGATGTGATTATGTGAATAATGTTAACGAGCTAAGCATTTTCAGCTCACTACCTTATAAACTGTGCCAAATCCACCTTGCCCGAGCTTGTTCGCCTCATCAAAAGATGCGGTGGCTTTCTCAAGAGTTGAATACTTGAAGTTCAGGCTGCTGTCGTTAAGGGTCTTCACTAACTTCTCCACATCATTGGAACCTGAAAATTTCGAACTCCTTAGTTGCTGTAGGAGACATTCAAAGCTAAAGCCTTAGCTGAAATATCACCAAAATGTTTTACCTTTTCTCTTCTTCTGTATTTGTTTGTTCTTCCACATATAAAAGGCGATAATAGCTCCCAGTACGAAGACGACCACAGCACTAACAACAGCAATTACAATCACTACCACTGAAAATCCGTCAATATATCAGCTACATGATCTAGATAACAGTTTCGGTGATTGACTTAAAGGAAAAAGGAAGAAGACAAAGTAAAGATTACCATTTGGCGATGAGTCTTCACTGCTAGCAATGGCATTAAGAAAATTAATATCCGAGTACCTCAGGAAGCATCCAGTGTACAACGCTCGTCCTTCTGACCATGGTAAGCACCCCATCATAGAGGCAGATGCATTTTCCAAACAGGCTCGGCACGAGTTAGCACTCAGTGTTTTCCAGCAATCAGCTAGGACATAAGCTGTCTCGTTCGTTGCCCCAGGCACTGCCAATTCAGCACGGGCATAGCCATTATTGTTAGGTGCATTAGTAACCGCCTGCTGAACAGCCCGCCTAGCCGTTTGTTGGAACAAAGAATCCTTTCTGGTTCTATTTCCACAAACATGTCTGTCCTCAGGTCCTAAATACTGGTGATCAAACGTGTAATTCTCAGCCCGCATAAAGCATCCATCTAGATAAATTCGACCTCCATTGAAAGGAAAACATTGAGGAAGGACAGTTCGAGCTTCAGCATAGCATAGGACACAGTCAAGTAAAGAAAGATCCCCATAACACTGTGCTAGTCCATAGTTAGCATCCGGTCCACTCCCGGTGAGTGCAATTCCATAGCCTTGAGTTCTCATTTGATCACTTATCTTCTCCATTGTGGCAACAAAATTCGGGACAAAAGTTGTTGTATTATGTTCAAGTTGCGTACTACATATGATCTGGACCGTCTGAGATCTTGGTTCTGCCTCTGATACATTTGGTAGAAGTAAAATCGACAGAACGACAAATAACCTATATGCAACTAATGTCACTGCTTTCTCCATTGCGCGACTGCAAGATCTAATAAGTGAAATCAATCAAATATTAGAACATCAAATCGCTGCATTTAAAAGCATTATTGAACTATTGTTTTCTTTCATGAATATGTTGAATAATATGGAAAAAATGAAGAAATGATGAGGTAGCTTCATTTTCATAACCAAAATGTTGTCAACAAAGTCAAAAAAGGGAACCAGAAATATTCATGGTTGAATGTTGAAACTACTGCAGCATCCTATATTAGACTAAGATTAGATTTGTACACACTGAAAATGTAAAAAATATTGGGCAAAAAGGGCATAATATACTCTTTGACTTTGTAATAGAACTGATATATTCTTGTTAAAAAATATTGGGCAAAAAGGGCATAATATACTCATTGAGGGGAGGTTTGTCCAAGTCCATATAATAAAGAATGACAAACGTCTCACATTGGTGGTTAATGAGATGGTGGACTCCTTAAAAAAGGTTTGGACAATCTTCTTCCCTTTGAGCTAGTTTTTGAAGTGTGAGTTAGGCATAAGACCTAGTTTACCATATATATCTTCGTCATCTAATAAATATAGCATATTTAGTCTTTGCATTAACAAACTCATATTTATTTAATTAAAAAAATAATCTAAAATTGGCTTTTTAATTTAAAAAGATATCACGAGCCTTAAAATGAGTGTGGTAATTTTTTGAAGTCTCACAACATTTTAGAAATTAAAAGACCAATTTAGGATTACTTTTTTTTTAATTCAGTAAATATAAGTTTGTTAACAAGGGTAAACAATGCTCTATTTGTTAGACGACAAGAATATATATATGACATTTTTTTTAACAAAAAATATATCAACTCTAAATCAGAATGTTGAATAATATAATTCCCCTTTCCAAAAAATAATTTTTTTCCATGTTACCAAATGCCACTTATTTTAATAATCTAACTTTCAATATATAAAAGTTAAACTCCTCAATTTGAAAAGTATATAGTAGTATAAAATAGGAGAGAGAGTTGAGAATTGTGTTACATCTAGAAACAAAAGAGAGGTCAGCATTGATGATTATACCAAAAAAACCAACTAACATTGATTTTCATGGAGTATGTAAAAAGTAAGACCCCACCTCAATCACAGCTTGGCACAAGCTAGATAATATAATAACAATAATAATTAAAAAGACTAAAATACCCCCAATTGACCAATTTTCAGAACTTTACTCCCCATCTTCAAATATTCATCTTTCATATATCTAAATCATATTAGAAGAAATTAAGATATAGTAATTGCATCAAAAATTACAAAATCCTCAGAGTTGAACTGAATACAGAGAATTCTCAATTTGAGCAGTTTCTTTGGAAAAACACATAACAGAAAAAAGTGAAATCAAAAGACACTTAAAACTCAAAAATCTTACCTTTCGATCGTGAAAAATCGATTTGTTGAGAAAGATGGCTGTAGAAAATTATATTGCAGATGCTTTAGGAACTCTGATAAAGAACAGAGGACAGTGACAAAGAAGAAAGAAAAAAAAAAGGAGTATAAATATAGGAATGAATAATTTGGATGAGGAAATATTAAATGAGAGATGAGTTTTAAGGAGAAGAAGTGGATATTTCTCAATTTAAATTAAAAATGAGGAGCTAATGGAAGACTCTTTTAAATAACGCGCTTTTTTAACCGAAATCAATTTTATGATTGAATAGTAAAATGTTACAATATTTCATTTTATGTGATATTGTTAATTTTTTTAGTCCGTCTAAACATGAATGTTATTTTATTATAATAAATTTCTTTTTTTTAATAATTTACAATCACATAAATATCTAAAAATTATTTTAAACTATAACTTTCAAAAGTCTTTTTATTCTTCTTGAATACATTATCAAGTTAAATAATGTCACATAAAATAAAACGACAGGATCCTTAGTAATAGAAATTCGGAAAGGGTGGGGGACTGGGGGTCACATTAGACGGCTGGGTTAAATATGTGAATTTGAAGCATTTTTTTAAGTTAAATTTTTTAATTTAATATACTAATAAGATAAATTATTTTTTTCACAATTGTAACAAACTTAACTTATTTTATGTAGCTCTTTGCCTTATGTTTCAAGTTACTGATTTTTTTATTTTTTGTAAGGATAGTTGCTTTTGATTATTTTTAAGTAATTTGATTGTGTATGAAAATTAAGTTGTCAATGTGTAGAAGTAAATACTAGTATTATATGATTTAATTTATATATATGAGCAACATGGCGATGTAAAAAAAACTATTGCACTAACTCATGTAACTTAAACTATATAATAAACTATAATATATAACAGTTAGTTATATGTTTAGTTTTCAGGTTATTAATATATTTTTAATGGATGGTTATTTGTAAAAAAATTTACGTGAATTTAAAGTGTAAAAAACTAATTAAACTGATAGTATAAAGAAGTTAAACTTAAAAACTACATATTAATAATGTAAACATTTCAACATGTTCAGTATATTAACCTACTCCAACAGGGTATCCACTCTCTTTTCTGAATATAATATATATATATATACACTTACCTAATACATTGATTATTAAATTTTTCGGTCAAATGTTTGTTATTTTTATGAGATTAAACTCGAGTTATTATGAAGTCAAAAGTTGATGAAGTTATAAAATTAAATATTTTTGCATTTATTGTTATTATACTATTTCTTCTAATTTTGACGATTTTTCACTTATCATTTATGTCAAGATAATCCGTCAAAATAATTAATTTAAATAAAATTTGACTTCTGAATTTTTGGTCAAAACTGTCTAATGGAATTAGAAAAATTAACTACACATAAATATTAACTTTAAAAATTGATTATTTTTAAGTGATTTGATCGTATATGAAAATTAATTTGTCAATATATAAAAGTAAATACTAGTATTATTATATGATTTTTAACTGGTAAACATGAAAAAGTAAAACTAAAAAGTTGCACTTTTATTGCATTTTAAACTATAATAGTATGTTATATATCTTAGTTTAATTTTCAGGTTGTACATCCATTTATTAATGAATATTTATGTGAACTTATTTTTTAGGTGAATTAAAAGATGTAAAAAAAGCTACAAATAATTACACTATATACTAATTATGTAAATATTCCTACATATAATGTATATATTAAACCAACTCCAACAGGGTAAAAACACATAGTGACACTTGCCTAGTACATTATATTAATATTCTTTTGTTTGGTTAAGTATATTAATATTCATTTATTGAATTTATCGATCAAAGATTTGTTATTTTTATGAGATTAAACCTGAGTTATTGCAAACAAAAAAATTGACGAGATTATAAAACTAAATATTCTTACATTTATTATTACTATACTATTTATTCTAATTTTGACGATTTTTCATTTGTCATTTACAGAAAAACAATTCGTGAAAATAATTATTTATGAATTGATTTAATTCATAAAGTTTGACTTCTGAGTTCTTGATCAAAATTGTTGATTGAAGTTATGAAAACTAATTACACATTATTCACTTTAAAAGATAAATATTTTTTAATTATTTGATCGTATATGAAAATTAATTTGTTAAATATAGAAGGAAATACTAATATCATATAATTTAATTTGTATACATGACAAAAAAATTTTAAAAAGAGTTGCACTATTATTGTATTTCAAACTATAATAGTAAGTTATGATTTTATCACCCCTAATTTTTTTTAATTTTTTTTTCTCTTTTTTTTTTTTTTTTGACAGCACAAGGTAAATTATCTTCTTAAAAATGAAGAGATTATAAGTTTAATTTCATTGTCTAAAATAAACTACTCCTATACACACAAAATTAATCATGGTAAATTGCAATTTGTTTATGTTTATCAGTTTATATGTTCTTTTATCAGACTATTATATTGATAGGATAATTAATCAAATGAAACCAACAACTACTCGTCAATTGTCATCTAGTGTATCCTATAGTTTTATTAATTCGAAAAATATGATGTTTAATCTTTCACAATTTTTTTTTACAATTAATAATTGACTTATGTGTCCTGATATTTAATTGTATATATAAATTAATTGTTGACACTTTGTTGTCATTTAATCTGTTTAGTCCACACCTTGGCCCACCATTTAATTTTACCTACTTGTCTCCAACACATGATGTAGACTCTCATGAACTTCTAGCTTCATCTAAAACATCTTCCCCAACAAAAAAAAAAAAAAAAACATCTTGGAATGCCTGGTTTGCTACCTAGTAAACATGACATTTAGGGCTATAGTGGAGTCTTTTTTTTGGCAAAGGCTTCCTTATTGTAATCTATAAATAGTCGATTGGTGTCTCATTTGTAAGAGTATTCTGATTCAAGCAATACAATGATAATCTACACTTTTGTTGGGTACTAAACATATCTTATTTTGTCTTAGTTCTTATTTGCATCTTTATAAGATGTTGTTCTCGAAGTCAGGGCCAGAACTCTCGAACTCACTTATACACACTCCGGAAACATTTGAAATTGACTCTTTTACTCTTTAAGCTGCTTTATTTCATTAAACTTATATACTTTGCATTAGTTAATAATTAATAATCAAACTGCTAAATTAAAATGCGTGCACTTGACCTCTTATGACTTCAATTGTATCGATTTTAGGGTAAACAAAAAACCATCACCTTTTTAGACACAAAATTTCAGTTATTCTAGAAATTTATCATTGGTATTGTTGTTGCGACTTCTTTTCTAGTTGACACATAAATTGGGATTGTGTGCAGAAATGACCTTTTCTGGGGGTCACTCTTTAAATTGTGTCCCCTTTTAGTTTAGTGGCTATATCTGTAAGAAAAAGAAATTCATCCAACTGTTTCTAAATGCCAAATTTAGCTCACTGGTTTAACAACTAACCGTATCCAAACAGTTGCTCCAAAAAAGGCCACCATATGCAAAAAATGTTATTGAAGTGAAATTTGCTACCATTGCACAAATTAAAACTCTAATTTATTCACTCTTCCACTATTATTACAATTATTAGGGGTGAAGCCAGAGGC